ACAGGATGGTACCGATAAGTACAAGTTCAGCTTTGTTGTTCACGGCAGCTGGGGGGGTGTGTTGCGGTATCAGACTGCTGCAATATACGTTGCACATGAGCCTCAATACACACGGTTGTAACGGGTCATGTTTAGCACGTTTCAAGTCATGTATATACCGTCACCTCCTAGCTAGATATCAACACAGCGCAGTTTTCCATCGACCCGATAGTCCTATGTTATTGTTTACCGTAGCTATCAGTATTATACAGTGGCAGTTGCCGCTACAGATTTGATGAGCTTGCCAGGAAGCTCAACAGGAACTGTTCCGCAGATGCCTTCCTATACTGGGACGCCAACCAGCTAAAACTTGGAGTGACCATGGTTGAGTCGACCACAACTGCGGCTGCTTCTGCGGTCTCATCGTTTTCTGCAAGTACGTCTTCTATTCTAGGAGTGGAAGAAGAGAGTATACAAACAGTTGATGGCGTTGGTTTATTCGAGACCGAAATGTATGTTTCCGGCATGCACGGTGGCGGGCATGGCGGGGGCAAGACGTCTTCGTTCAAGCGTTGTTTGTTGATGAAGAACGTAGGTGACTGTAAGGTTGCTCATCGCTTGGTGACAGCTGTGGAGGGTCGACCGTCACCCCTGTGCTACATTCATCTGCTGCAAGGTGGAGGTGCAATTGGCGATGTTGCGGCCCAAGCCACCGCTTTCGGCTGTCGAGATTGGCACTTTGCCTGTGTCATAACCGGTGTGTGGTCTCGCGATGAAGATGGTACGGCAGCCGCACGGGCTGCCGTAGAATGGGTTTACAGCGTCGCAGGAGGCCTACTGCCGCTGAGCAGCGGGGTTTACAGCGCTGACCTTGGGCCGGACCCTCGGGATGCCCCGCTAGCCAGTAGGGCCTTCGGCGTCAACCGGCAGCGGCTCGCCCAGCTCAAACAAAGCTTGGATCCACGCAGCATATTGGCTTACGCCTGTCCACTCCCTACAGCGCCACCGGGGCCGAAGCTCATTCTCTTGATCACAGGCGAGAGCTGCTCCGGTAAAGACTACTGTGCCGATGTGTGGGTTTCTATGTTCGCAGAACGGGCCCTCACGGCGCGTGCAGTGAGCATTAGCGATGCGATCAAGCGCGAATACGCAGCGGCTACTGGTGCTGACCCCGATCGCCTGCTTTCCGACCGTGTCTACAAGGAGCAGCACCGCACAGCGTTAACAGCATACTTCCTGGAGCAAGTACAGCACGATCCACAGTTACCAGAGGAGCACTTCTCAAACGTTGTACGTGGTGCCACAGATGCGGATGTGCTATTAATCACTGGCATGAGAGACAAAGCACCTGTCGCCGCCTTGTCGCATCTTGTGCCAAGCAGCAGGCTACTGGAGGTTTATGTGCAAGCCAGTGGACAGATACGACGCTTTCGCAAAGGGTGTCATCTTGGCGGCAGTGATGGTGAACGTAAGCAGTTCAGCGAGCGAACTGGAACGACTTGGAAGACCTTAGACCACCAACCCGATTTCATCTTCGACAACGAAATGACTGGCTGCGAAGCTGCGAAAGACTTTTTCCGAGATTACCTGATCGCTCTTGTCGATGAAGACCTGCTGCAACTGGCTGACATGGTGCATCTCACCCCAAACTTTCCACGCCCAAATATCGTGTTCCGCCATGTGCTCGGTGTCTCTCAACAGCCGGGTGGGCTGGCTCTGTGCACGTCTCTCCTGGAGAACCACTTCACGGGTAATTGGAGCAACGTCGCTGCAGTGGCGTGTTGCGAGGTTGGCGGTATTGTTTTCGCGTCGGCGTTGGCGTTGCGGGTGAATGTTCCCTTAGTACTCATACGCAAAGCTGGTAAGCTTCCCCCACCTACCGTCTCTGCTGTCAAGTCTCGATCACATATCTCATCTTTGACCTGCTGCAATGGCACAAAGAAACGGATCGAGATGGAACGGAATGCGATGCCTCGGGGTGGGTCGGTGGTTGTGGTGGACGACGTGCTTTCTTCGGGAGAGACGCTATGTGCGGTGCTACAGCTCTTGGAGGACGCGGGCGTTGCAAGCGTCAATGTTCTAGTTGTGGCCGAATTTCCAGTCCATGGTGGTCGGGAGCGTCTACGCCGATGTGGATACGGCAAAGTCAATGTCCGAAGTCTTCTCACACTTAGTGGTGCTTAAAAGAGGAGGCTAGAGTAGTGATCTCTCTTGTGTACGCCACGAATTTGTATTGCACTTAATCCATACATGCGCCTAGACCTGTTCTAACCTGCCTCTTCATCCATATTGGTCCGCTAAGCACTCTGTCTGGGGGTATACTGACAACAACTTAGAAGATTTATTCATCCATATTGTATGTGTGCTAAAGCTCCAGCTCGTACGTGGTGTATAATATAGGCAGTACTCTTCAGCAGAGTCAGCCTTGCAGCGCATTCCGTCCATAAAGGGTCGTCCAGGCTAAGATAAGGCGTTCTCTGTTGCAGTTTATGGAGCGAGTGACCTAGCTCTCACTGACGTCCTACTTGACTATGGCTTTGCAAAATCCTTGATCATTTCCCTTTTAGATATGGGTGTCTCTCTGTGAGTCCTTCAACGTATCGCGTGGGTACATTATTCGTTGTGTCCTTGCTTACCAGGGCAACTTGAATGTTCCAATTAACTATTGGGTCGTGTTGAAAGGGTTTCTTGACGCTCGCGACCAGGGATAGTAAGCAACGAACCACCACCATGCCACTTCATCCCGTCTGTCGTTGGCATACAAATTCATTCAATTTAACAGCTTGTGGAGGTTGGCTCGGGTACATCCACAAGCAAAGATGTCGACCTAGGTCTGGAAAGTAACACAGCATCTGACGAATGGCTCCAGACTTCTGGAGGGTCGCAACAAGATCCGTGATCTTAACTTTTTTTTACCTTACTCTCTCCGCAACTTCCGTGCACCAAATGGAAATGACTTTTGAATACAACTTTGCCAGGGTCTACGAATACAGCATATCAGACGCGCCGTGGTATAATATTGGGGCCCATTATGTCCGGGCTAAACCTTAGAAAGTCTCCACACAACCTCAGGCGAAGAAACAACCTATTCCTGAGGAGTTGGCTTTCCATATGATTGACCAAATCACCAAAGCCTGTCGTTTCTTGCACGAGAAATGCAAGATTGTTCGTGCAGACGTGAATCGGAAGAACATCCTGCTTCGCTATCCAGGCAGAGAGTTCCCACTGATGCCTGATTTGGTCATGAATGACTGAGCGTTATGGGAAGAAGTCAACGAAGAGCGGATTGCTAAGGACGCAATTGATGTTTACGAGTGCATGTCACCAGTTCCTTTCGAAGGAGGTTGATCGTGTGGAACGAGTCATGAGCAGGATTCTTGTGCGTCTAGCGCTACAGCGCATAGCCGAGACTGGCTTCATCTGCATGACAATATACGGGGCAGGAGATGTTCTCTGCAATCTCTTAGTAAGAATGTTGAGATTATTGTAAATGAGTCTCGACAGGGGGTAGAGGGGACAGCCACAAAGCAGATGCAAACGCAGCAAATGCAGGCCTGGTGGTTACTGCAGGAGACTTGTTCACAAAGAAAAGTTTCAAGAGTCACTGGCATGAGAAATAAAGTTAAGGTGAATTTATTATGTTCAAGTCGGTCAAGGGTCTTGTTAGTCGTGCCGAAATAGATTTCCATGTTCACAGCGAGGAAGAGCCACTCTAAAGCTATCTAACGACTGCAAAACGCCTCGCTGTCAGCAGATAGACTAATGTCTACTCCTTATAAGCGAGACTGCGGCCTCGTAGAGATAAACCCAACAGTTACGTAACGTCCGTCCAAGCGTGCCGGGACGCACGGTGGTGTCCCGGAACAGGTTTGATCTTCGCGATCTTTTGTTCCTATGTGCATAGACCTATAGTTGATGTATAAATGTTCTGCAGCCACTTCTTTGCCAGAGTATCGGCCTCCGGCCCGGAGTGACGCGATGTTGGCCGTGCTGTCGATTGTGTTTTGTCAACACTGTTAATCAACCCTTCGTCAATACACCCTGTCTATTCTCAACTACGAGGGTCCCGTGTAGCTTGGAGGGCCTGAGGCGAAGTACGGCCATGGAAGATTCTGTTTCGAGCTCTAGAGACCACTTTCAGTTAAGAAGGATGTAGTCCGACGGGTCCGCTGGTCAGGAGTGAAGATCGCGAGAAGCGTTCCAGAGGGAGGGTTGACAAAAGCATATTTTGAGTGGTTTATTGTAAGCGTTTGCGCAAAGTATGCTGGTACCTGGGAACAGTGATTGCATTGTTGAGGAGCTGTGGAGACACACTGGCAAGTTTTCAGTGTGTCTTGCTTGCTTATATGCTAAACAAGAAAGGAGTAGATGTATCTCATCCATGTCAAGACTCTACTAAGCTCTCCGGGGCCTAGCCCATCACAAGCAGTTTATAACAACTGTATCTGTAGACCCAGTGTGTGTTGTTGGGTATGTGGCTGAAAGAATACGTTTTGGTTTAGCAAGCCTGAACCGAAGACCTTACCAAATTGGGCTATCAACCACCAACACCCCAGTGGTCAACAGCAATAACTCCACAACCAAAACGCCTTTTGAAGAATAAAGCACAGCATTGCGCTTGCACAACTCAGCTCTAAAACATGAGTTCCAGAAACCTACAACTTTTTCCCAACCCTGCCCCATATTTGCCCATTCATATCATCATCATTGGCGTCACTGGTGCCTTGCTGACAACGGCCGCTTGCCGCGCCCGGTCTACCCACTTTTTTTCCTGGGTATCATGTTGATCTGTTACGGAGCCTTGAGGGGAAGTTGTTTGGTATTCCTCGGTGCCGGGCAGTGATATTTGATGAGCTTCTATAGCACGAACCGCGTAAAGCAGTGCTAGGATACTGCTTAACAAGAGGATGTAGAACGATGTCGGGCGACACAAATCCCTCAGTGTAGTTACCGGAAGCTCCAGCATTCCTGATAGATAGGTGAGGTCTGCTCATTGACCCGTAGGCGAGTCATCGTCGGCTATGCGGCTGCTGCTGTCGCGCGCTCTGGCCTTGTCGTCTTTGGAAGCTACCGATGCTAGAAACATCCAACCAGCAAACACAGCGATCAACGCTAACGGGATGCATATTACTCGCAGAACCTTCTTAAATACTTCCAGTGGATAATGGACAAATGCTTGAGGTTGTTGCCCTGAGCTTTGAGCGGCCATCGTCCGTTTTGTGATCGGGTCTGCGCCGCAAGGATTTTCGTAGAATAGCAGCTGAAGAATGAGGGTTCTCGTGGCAGAGCGGAAGGGCCTTTCTGGCCATAAGAATTGGTTTGACAAGTCGACAGGATGCCAAAAGGTCGGGGGTTCGACTGCGCCTCAATATTTAATGACCTAACAAGCGGGGTACGCTAGTTTTGGCCACCAAATAGTGGCACAGCACATTGTACGCCTGAGTTGCCTTATAGAGACCGGTACCTAGGCCATAAAGGACATACCGAAGACGAGAGGGTTGCCTCGGACAAGAAGGCTAGCATCTTTTATAATCGATGAAAGATTGATCGGGCATATTCATCGACTCCCAAAAGTTGTACGTTGAGGTTTCGTTCAGCAGAGATTCCAGGATGTCATCTGTCACGATTGGCTGCGGAGAAAAGTCGTCGGAATTGGCAGCTTGAGTGTTTCCAGGTGCCATTGTCTCTGCTGTCGAAGGGCGTCTTATTTGAGTGACACCCCAGATCGTTTCGTCTAACGGTCCTGGCATGAGCTGGCGAATAGCTTCACCAAAGACCCCGCAAAAAATCGATGCTGAAGTGTGCGTCTTCTGCAGCTCGCGCATGACAGTCATGCACATCTCGAGTTTATTGAACGCTAATCGACGAGTTAAGCGGTTGTCAGACTTGCAGCCTAGGAGGTGAACGTGCATAGCTGGTACGAGGAGCGGCGGGCTGTGCCGGGTTAGTACGGATATTGCTAGGAGGATCAAACCAGTCGAGCTTTAGATGGATGTGAATTGCGCTAGGCATTTCTGCAAACTTACGTCGTTGGGGTTGCAAAGCTCACGAGCCCTTCACGGGCGATACAGTCAAGAATACCGTTCGATTGTGTCGCCGCACTCTCCATACGGCTCCGTACCCGGGCCATCCAGGACTCCTCAGCTCCAGAAGAGAGGCCTTCAGGTACTGTCGACACGAACGGACGGTAGAATGTTATCAAAGTCGCTCTAACGATACGTTAACAAATTTGAACTGTGCAGACATGCCAACACAACTTACTGAAGGTGTAACTGAAGATGGTAGTAGCTGAAGGATGCTAACGGACTTGGATGAGCACTGAGAGATGCGGGAACCACGAATGCGTTCAGCTCAGACTCCAGGGTGTCGAACTGTGATAACGTTGGCTGCTTCCCCAGCTGCTGATAAAAGAGGGAAAGAATATCGCCTAGGATCCTGCTTAACTGGATTAACAAGACCCAATGCTTAACCATGACACTCAAGTCCTTAGGCACGTAGAGGTCCCGTAACCTGGCCGGCAATGTATCTAAATCATTCAAGACATCCTTTAAGATAGGGAAAGGCATGTCGCAGTCGCTTAGACGGATTCGAAGGGGCCTTCCGAGGGTGAGACTGAGCCAGCGGTCTCGAACCAAGCAGCTGGCCCATAATTGTCGCCATAAGTCGCGGCGCTGCGGCGAGACTAGTGGGTTTACTCTGGCAGCATCCGGATCGCGATGCAAACCTATGATCTGGCACCAGTTGATCGCAACACCTTGTCGTGTCGTGTTAGTACTGGAATTCGAAGTGGTTTGAATATGCTTACCGCTCCAATACCATGGCTGGGAGTGACTGTCTCTCTCCGAGTGCCAGAAGGATAGAAGAAGCGCGGCTTGCAAAAGGGCTTCTTTGTCGGTCTCCCCGGAATTGTCATACATGCACTATATGCAGGATCAGTATGCGTAAGGGCTAATAAATCTAAGTCGGACTGCTCTTGCCTTCGCACGATTATACATTGTATCCTTCATATGCTTCCTTGATGTAAAGCTTTCGGCCTTCCACACATCACTAGGAACAAACTGTAGAATAATCAGACTGGTCTCACATATATGATTTCAGTAAACTCACGTTGACCGCTACTACAGCCATACTCCAGTACAATAGCATGCCGTGAGGTGTAATTGCATTTGGCAATTCGAATTCCTGCAGCTTGGAAAGATGCAAGATTGGCAGCATGGGGTGTACATGATGGAAGTACGCGCGAAGAACCTCCTGATGGGAGTACATGAGCAAGGGACTCAACGCGCCTTTGCGCTGGAGGAAATCATGGTCAACCTGCGGAATAACGCTCGGAGGATTGGGCTTTAGCATGATGTGCCGTGGTAAAGGCTCTCGAACATCGATCAGAGAAGTAACGCCTGGCTGTTCTCCTACACAGGTAATCAGTCAACTTGACTCAAACAGCCTCACCAGCATCCCTTACCAGTATAAAAAGGTGTGCCTGAGTTCGAGTTGCCTTGCCCTCTTGCCGCAAACGAAAGCTCAGCTCCACTTTGCTCCTCGTCCAAATCTCTCTGGCGCTCTGAGTCAAGACGGGTATGCGTATCATCGTGTAGTGTGTTGATCGCGCCGAACGCTACAGGCGCAGGTGCGTGAGAAGTGTGGGCCCGAGAAGCATAGCTCGGAGACAATGCCTGCATATGTCCTCTCAAAGGCGCATAGTTTCCGGTATCTGTGATGTTGTGCGATGGTTCTACAGATTGAGAAGTGCGTGCAGACACCGAAATTGCACTCCTGGGCCTGTACAGGGGTAACGTTGGTGGTCAGCACAGAGTAGAAGGCTTCAGAATCCTGATGTCAGCCTTACAACTCATGGCTGCTCTCTTGTATGGCGCATGTCGTTCGATCCTGGGTGCAGTTCGAACATGGTATGCCTGTGATGGTCACGCTGCACCGAACCTTGCGCCGCCTGCAGTTTTGGCAAGCGACTGTCGAACGATGGCGACGCTGCGCCGGCATGGAGGATTGTTTAGTAATGGTAAACTATCAGTTCTTAGTTCTGAGCCTTCCCAGCGATGCGTTGAAGCTCATTTGCAATGTGGTTCGATGAACACGGAACGATGAAGGTGGGAGGTCTCGGTGTTGACGCATGGACCAGCGCGTCATCGGCCCATGTTCGGAAAGAGCACTCGTTGCGTACTGGACGCGCCAGGCAACGCTCACGACACAGACTCCTTCAACCTCTCAAAGGAGTCACAAAAGCCTGATATTTGAGAATAGATGATCATAAAAAATTGTATTGAGGTATCTCTGAATGACTCCAGCAATGCTATGCTACAACGTAAGGACTATCACGAAAAGAAGAAACAGTCACACCAGTCCGCCAAATCAAATCTAAGCCTCGACTTCTGTCTTAGGCGGGAGCTTGACGCGCTTCTCCGATCGTACATACAAGTTGTTGGGCCTAATCAGCTGGAACATAGGGTCGTACTCAATGGTCTCGTCACCATCCTTGACGAAATTGTATCGGTAGATCAGTTTAGGCAAGAATATCTTGATCTCCTGCAGAGCGAAGTTGAAACCGATGCACATGCGAGGTCCAGCCGCAAAAGGAATGTATGCTGCCTTGTGGCGGTTCTTCACCTCAGGTGTGTCCCACCTGTCAGGGTCGAACTTGGCCGGGTTGTCCCACAGGGCAGGGTTGTTATGAATGTGATGGAGAGCAGGAATGATGACAGTGTCCTTCGGCACCTTGTATCCTCCGGGCAGAATCAGGTCAGCCTTGGCAGTTCGGCCAGGCTGGAATGAGGGGTTGTGTCGGCGTTGTGTTTCCTTGATGAAGCGGTCCAGGTAGACGAGCTTGTCTGTAAACTCAGCAGTGATCTCCATGTCGTCGCTGAAGTCATTGTCTACAAGCTCTTGCAGCAGCTTTTCCTGGACACCGGGGTATGTGACAAGGCCGTAGATCAGCCATGAGAGCAGAGATGAGGTTGTGGTAAATCCAGCACCTGTGGCGACGACAAGTGCTTCCCTTAAACTTGTCTTTGGTAGCTTCTCGCCCCTATTGTCGGTAGCACGGACTGCGTAGTCAACCATGTTTGCAGCTCGCTCAGCAGCTTCCTGCAATGGAAGGTCCTCAACACCGCCACTCTGGGCTTTGGCGATCTGCTCCTCGACTAAGACCTCCATACGAGCCTTCTTTGTTCGCAACAATTTGGGGTCACCGAAGGGCAAGTTAGCGTACCAGCTACCGTACGAGGTGACCTTCTTGTTCAGATGTAATGTCTCAGCAATGAGATGAACCATCTCGTGTACAGGGGCGTCCTGAACATAGTCAGCAGCATATCCATCAGAATGCGTTTACTGAACGTACCTTATGTGCAAAGTGCTCCATATCCATGCCGAGGGTCAGCTTTGCCACAGCTTGCGAACCGAGCTTTAGCATATAGATGTACACGTTCCACGATTGACCGATCGAATCAAGTTCGTCGAAGACCTTGTACGCGCTCTCAATCGTCTTTTGCATGGTGGGGGCGTAGTGTCGTACAGCCCTAGGACCTAAAGCAGGTGGCAGGAACTTGTGTGTAACCTTCCACTCAGGTGTGTCTGTGTCACCCAAGAATACGCCAGCCTCTGGTGTCTTGATGCCGTACAGCGGATGCGACTCAGTGATCTTCTTGGTGAAGAAATCTGACTCAGCGAATGCAATCGCAGCAATGTCTGGGTCGTTTGAGTGGTAGATCGTTCCACCCATGTTGGTGGTTTGGAACACTGGCCCGTACTTTTCGAACAAACGCTGGTGGTTGCCCAAATGGTCCGGGAATACTTCAAAGAAGTTGCCAATGTAGGGGAGACCCTTTGGCCCAGGAACGGCGCGGACCGCATGTCCATCTACTGAAATGGCAATGGCCTCTTCAGACGACAGGATTTCCTTGACATTTGACAAAGCGTCATCGCCACGAGTGAAGCCAACACCTATAGAGATTAGCTACACGCTCATATTGTGCGATTTATCGCAAGTGGGGATGAATACTTACCATCGGCGACAACAATCGCGAAGTGCGACGCAATTAGGTCTTTCAAGTCGTCTAGAGAAGCGTTCTCATCGGCCGCGATAGTCTTTGCGGACGCTGGAGCATCTCCAAGTAGGTAGAATGATTGCGACAGCATTGTGTTATGGTGATGTGGTCGACAAGCAAGTGGGCGAGAACTGAGTCGGACGGGACTGGCATATAAGTTAGTATGAGCTTCCATGGATCCACGGCTTGCGGAGCATGTCGAACAAGTCAAGCATCATCGGCCGACCATGCATTGAGGCTCCGAAGCTTAGCAGGGTCCAAGCAGGGGTACTCGTTCGTAGATTTTACAACGTCCCGCAATCATAATGATTCCGATTGGCTGCCAGAGGGTCCGAGCAGTGTTACCTCGGGAGCATGCCGAGGGTCTGGTGTCCCTAATCTCCTTCTGTGGGTCTGACATGACACCAAATGGTCAAGGTCGCCATGTAGCTCAGACAAAAAACGCTCGGTCGAGCCTCTCTCAAGGATAGTCGTAATGCGACATATATGGACCGAGGCTGCGCAAAGCTCTGAGATGACAGCGTGCATATTAGGACTCGTCCCGTTCGTTCGAGGTTAACGGCTGCCCCGAGACCTTACCTTAGGCTTTCTTTCTCGTTTTCGACCGAACAATGTCTGAATTACCTGCTTACAGTGCGGCTGATGTTGCAGCGCATTCTACCAGAGATGATCTTTGGGTCATCATTCAAGGGAAAGGTTTGTCGACTAAGAAATTGTGAAAAAATGAGAGCTGACTTGAATACGCAGTCTACGATGTCACCAAATACGTACGAGACCACCCAGGCGGCGCAGATGTTTTGATCGATGTCGCTGGAAAGGATGCAACCGAGGAGTACGCAGACGTTGGCCACTCAGAAGATGCGGACGAGATCTTGAACAGCTATATGATCGGTATCGCTGCCAATCCTGAGAAGCTGAAGCGCTCAAAGAACGTCAAACTCGTACAGCAAGTGCCGCCAACTGCTGTAGCGAAGAGTGGTTTAGTAGCATCAGGAGTCGTGAAAGTTGTTGCAGGCTCTCTGACGCTTGCTGGCGCTGCCTACTGCGCGTCAACATACGGTCCATCGCCACGCGTTCTCTTCTCCAGACTTCCTCAATTGCCGACTTCCTCGCTCTCAAGTGGGAACAGCGCCTTCGTCGGTGGTTTTGCGATTGCCAGCGTTATCTCCACAATCGGTGCGGCCGTCGTTGCCAACAAACTCTCCAAGTTTACACAGGTTGAGTCCGGCTTCACAAGGTACCCTCCTCGCCGGAAGCAGCGTCACTACGTCAAGCCAGCGAACCCGCATCTCGCAAAAGGATTTCTGGATGCCAAGGAATTCAAGCCGCTGAAGGTGGCCAAGATCGACCAATTGTCGTCAAATGTCTTCAAGTACAGCTTCAAGCTTCCCGACCCAAGAGACGTTGTTGGTCTGCCCATCGGCCAGCACGTCGCCATCAAGGCTACCATTGATGGCAAGTCCGTCACTCGGTCGTACACCCCAACTTCCAACAATCTCGATGTTGGCCTGCTGGAACTGGTGATCAAGATTTACCCAGATGGCCAGCTCACAGGCAAGTTCTTCGCAAATTTGAAGGTTGGAGACGAGGTTCTGTTCCGTGGACCCAAGGGAGCCTACACCCACACAGTCGGACAATGCAAAAAGATCGGCATGATCGCTGGAGGCACAGGTATTACACCAATGTACCAGCTCATTCGCGCCATCTGCGAAGACAAATACGACACAACAGAGGTGTCTCTGATTCTTGCCAACCGATCGGAAGACGACATCCTGCTGCGCAAGGAGCTTGAGACCTTCGCTAGGAGGTACCCCAAGAACTTCAAGCTCTGGTACATGTTGGACAGCCCACCGGAGAACTGGGCGTACGGTAGTGGCTTCGTTACGGCAGATGTGATGAAGGAGAAGCTGCCCGCGCCGGCACCGGACACCAAGATCATGCTGTGTGGGCCTCCCGGAATGGTCAACGCATCGAAGAAAGCTTTGGCGACACTAGATTTCAAGGCGCCAGGAGCTGTTGCAAAGATGTCAGATGAGATTTTCTGTTTCTAGAAAGACACGAGATGAAGTGCAAGCGCCATGCTTGCCTCGGTATATGGTATGGATGGTGATGAGCGAGATGATGTTTGGTGTTTGAGATTTCCTTTGGTCAGCCCAGTCCCAATGCGGCAATTAGCGCTTTCCCTTTCTATTGTCATCCCATAGCATAGCGAATCCAACTCTCTTCCACAACCACATGTTTAAAGTGTATCTGCCCAGCGGTTCAAGATCAACCTCCTGATGTCCTGTATAACAACAGCCCACGTTTCTGATCGACTGATCCATGTTGAAGTTGGTTGAACCCAGCGCGGCAGCCTTATCTCAACCTCGGCACGCTAAAAGATGGTTCCCGAGAAAATTCCAAGCGCATCAAACGTCAGAGCACGTCCAAACATGTCAAAGAATTCATGGCCACTCGCCACGACTACATTTGAATGAGGCTCCGCAATCCCTGCGGCCAATCGGGAAGAGTCGCCCACCTCGGCAGCGCTCCGTCACCGCGATGAACTATTTGCAGTCGCACACGCAACAGCGTCGAAGGCATGAAGATCCGCTGTGAATACACCGTCGAAGGCAAATCGGTCGCGATGAAGAGCCTCGTACGAGGTCGATACAGGGATGAACTTTGGCGATAGCAATTAGCTCGCTCAATTGTAATAGTTGCAAAGGATACAATGAGAACTAACCGGCCGATGACGTCGCCGCATCTAACAGCGTGAACATTGGGAAGCGCCGGATAGTACGGTAGGTGTGGTGCTCCAGGCACCATCGGCCAACTGGCGTATATAGGAGATGCGCCACGATCTACAGAAAGCAAAGTCCTTGACATGCACCGCGTTTTCACCAAAGTTACTCGATCTCACTTCTCATCCCGAAAATTCTTATCACCCTGGTTGACATCTTATGTCTTGGCAAGCACCAAAAGATTACCAGAAGCGCCCAGTCGCCATACTGGGCGCTGGGGTGCTTGGACGCCGAATTGGTACGTTGAACACGTGTAAGTGGTTGATGGAATTGCCCGCTGACATCACAAAGCATGCACATGGGCAGCCGGTGGGTATGAGGTCCAAGTCAGAGATCCAAGTACAGAGCAGCGCGCTCAATGCTTGCAATATGTCGCCGAGAATATCGCGACCTACAAGAACCTAACGACAGCGACAAGAGCTGGGGATGTTCAGGTCTTCGAAGACCTTGAGCACGCCGTAGCGAATGCGTGGCTCGTTATCGAAGCTGTTCCCGAGAGACTCGAGCTCAAGATCTCGACATTTGCAACACTCGAGCAAGTCGCGCCTGAAGACTGCATTCTTGCAACCAACTCCTCGTCTTACAAATCATCAGAGATGATCGGCAAGATCTCCGAAAACACAAAATGCCGGGTACTGAACACCCATTACTACATGCCTCCCGAGAACATGGTTGTTGAACTCATGACAGACGGGTTCACTGACAGCGCGATCTTCCCATTTTTGTCAGACCGATTCAAGGAGAGCGGCGCGAAGCCGTATGTTGCAAGGAAAGAATCGACAGGCTTCATCTTCAATCGCCTCTGGGCAGCAGTAAAGCGAGAGACCCTGACCATATTGTCTGAAGGCGTCAGCGATGCTGAGGAAATTGACAGTCTTTGGACAGAGATGTTCATCAAGGGAGGGGCAAAGCCATGTAAGACTATGGACCAAGTCGGTCTCGATACTGTGGCGTTCATCGAGGGTCATTACATCGCCGAGCGCGGACTGTCATCTACGCATACAACGGATTACCTCAAGGCGAACTATCTCGAGCAGGGTAAATTGGGCAATAAGTCTGACAAGGGCGGTTTGTATCCTCCAAAGAGTAAAGAAGCCTCCACCAACGAGGCGATCAACGGACCTGCCACAAACGGAAAGACATCTCCTTATCCAACGATCATCGTCCTCGATGCAGGCCTCTCAGCTTCAGAGCCTGGCAATGGAGCAGGCGAAATCCTGCAACTCAGCACCGACGGCTCTGCACCCAAGTCGATTGTCTCAGGCCAGGCACTCCCGGACGGCATTGCAATCGACCACTCCCGCTCACGCATGTTCTGGACATGCATGGGCGAACCAGGCGATGAAGACGGCGCCATCTACTCCGCCAACCTCGACGGCTCTGACCAGCACACCGTCATCGACTCGGGCAAGATCAACACTCCCAAGCAGATCTGTCTCGATACCTCTGCGCAGAAGATCTACTTCTGCGACCGCGAAGGCTGCACCGTATACCGCTGTTCCTATAGCGGCTCTGACCTCGAAGTCCTGGCCAAGAACGGCGGGACCGCATCCTACACATCCGGCCAAGCAAACGCAATGAACTGGTGCGTCGGCATCGCCGTCTCGCCATCACGCGGAAAGTTCTACTGGAGTCAAAAGGGTCCGTCGAAGGGAGGCCGTGGCAGGATATTCTGCGCCAACATCACCACGCCCGAAAGCAAGACGGCCGAGTCCCGCGAAGACATCAAATGCATTTTCTACGGGCTGCCTGAGCCGATCGATCTCGAAGTCGACGAACACAACAACCGCCTCTATTGGACTGATCGTGGTGAGCTGCCTTGGGGGAATACGTTGAGCAGGGTGGATTTGGACGATGAGGGTTTACCGGTTCTCGAGGATCCAGCGATCCTGCCGAGTAAGCTGGTTATTGCGAGGAGGTTCCATGAGGCTATTGGGCTGCAGGTTGATGCCAAGCGTAATCGTGTCTACGTGAGCGATCTCGGCGGGGGTGTGTATGTTTGTGACCTGGATGGGAAGAATAAGAGGACGATATACCAGGACGAGAAACGCGCGTTCACTGGGCTGGCGTTGCTTTAGAGAGCAGATACGTCTTGAACGGCGATTTGTAGATGGGCTTTTTTTTCTCTTGACTTCGCTGCAGCATGTTGCTACTCAATCCAAGTTCTGAAGACAAGACTTACCAGACGCAACACTTACACAAGATACTGTTGGTGACTTTGGAAAGTGGTACACGTGATGACGTTCCGCGCTAGCCCCACTTGCGCCTTGCACGCGACGCGTCTTCGCCTTCCCAAATCACCATCACCATCACCGTCCAGGCCGTGCACACAACCAACATCACTCAACGCCTCATCGCTTATCTTACACCTAGAAACTTCTTACGCTACACTTACTACCTTACGTTGACTCACAACGCAAAGTCTGCCAATAATGGACCACCCTCAGACACCACGCGTCCTGCAGCCCCACCTCTCGCAATTCCAGCACAGAATCGTCCGCGTCCTAGGCAAAGTCGTGCAGCTGCGCGGCGAGAACGCGATTATCGATGCTGGAGGCCAGATCGATGTCATCCTCAACCGGGTACGTATGCGTCTCTTCCTTTCATGTCCCTTCTTGCCGTTTTGAGACACGAGTTGGAGAAGGAGCGAAGGGCAGGACGGGCTGGTGTAAGGGCCATGTTGACGGGGTGCTAGGACGCACATCTCGCCGTCGGCCACGCAGTAGAGGTCATCGGCAAGGTGGATGGGAACCTCGCAATCAAAGTGCAGGCAGCGACGGACTTTGGGACCAGCATCGGTATGTACTATCCACTCTCCTCTTACCATGCCGGACCAGGGTTGAATCCTGATTTGCATCGAGTGATGCGTGCTGACGGGGCTTTGCAGACTTTAACGCCGCGAATGCAGTTGTAGAGGCGACACATCGACACAAGGAAATCTTTTACGATGACCAGTAAGAGACTTGGGGTGTGGGGATAAACGAAGTGTGGTCACGATTAGCGACACCATTGGGTCAAGTATTGGATGAGGTAGTCACAGACTATATGAAGCGTAATACGCATCTAAGTGTATTGTACATCTACGTATCTACGAACAAATGACCGAACCATGGTATTGAAGATCAAATACGCCGGTGCCAACATCATTTCTGAACGCCCTCGTTGCCATGCGTTGCTCACTAACACGCTTCATGGTCATGAAGACTCGGCCCTCAAAGCTTACTCCTCACAGCCTCCAACCGAAACTTGACTTCCTTCAGTTGTTTCGCAGTCGGTTTCCAATCCTCAAACATAGCCAGCAACTCTTCCACTTCATCACCCAGCTCTTTCTTCACGAATTCCTCTTCCAACAAGCCGCGCATCGCCCACGGCAGGAAATACGGATTCTGTGTCGCCGCAGTAGCAGGCGCCTCATAATCCTTCACTCTGAGCTTATACACATCCTGCTTCGCCACCGAGTTGTTGGCCAGCTTCTCGCCAACCACCGGTATGTTGATGCCCTGGAAGCTACTGCCACTGCCCGTACGCTGATGCGGCGGCACCGGCAGGGACGTAGTCTCAAGTGCATGTTGAACAGCAAGATGATACACCCTTGGATCCTCATAGACACGCGAGTGTCCTTCGCCGCCGTACAGGCTCCCCGCGAGCGCAGGGGAGAGTTCGCGGATCAGGCCGTGGTCGGGAAGCCCAAGGTTGCGCAGTTTGAGCACGAAGCCGACAAGGTGCGTGAGGAAGTCGGGCGCGTGGATGCGGCCATCGACGAAGGCGGCGCGGTAGATGTAGGGGTGCGAGAGGGTGGAGAAGGTCGATGACTGAGGGGCCCCGGTTAGCAGAGTGGTATTGAAGAGAGAGGGAGGGGGATGGTTTACTTCGAGCGAGACGAGCTGGTCGTCGATGCTGCCGACGTAGAGGATTCGTACGCCGAAGCGGAGCACCTCGTCCAGAGCGGCGAGGTACATTTGACTGACCAAGCTCTTGGGATCCGAGAACTCGAAAAGCTCGGCAGCTGTGGGGCCGAAGTATTTTGTCTTGTACTCGATGAAGGGGCCCATGTTGACTCCTGCCATCGCGCAGACGCCGATGCGTGTGGCGTTGACACAGCCAAACTGTATCAGCTTCGCGACCAACATCATCGCCACGGGCACACCCTGCGAGTGGCATGCAACGAGAATGAAGTCAGCTCCCTTGATGTGGTCGATCCAGTTAAGTAGCAGCTTCCACAATGTGTTCACCCTCTCAGCAATGAAGCCTTCGCCCTCCAAAGCAACCTGCTCAATCTCTGGACAGTACCCGCGAGCCTCGGACCACTCCTTGATAGCCGCAGCCGCAGCATTGGCAAAGCGTATCGATGTGCCTGTAGGCTGGCCCATGATTCTTTGAAAGATCGGGGCAGGGAAGAAGCCGTGGACACCTATGGCAACGGCTTTCTTTATCCGTGGTGGTGCCGGATTGATGTGCAGGTGAGGAGTCGCGGGCTCGCCGCCCAAAAAGTATTGGCGCACCTGCTTCCAGAAGCTCGGCTGCTGAGCGAGGCGGTATGTGGACTTGAACTCGGGGAGGATGAGGTTCGACGGCTCTTGCTTTGTTTTTGCCGCCTGCTTTGGTGCTGGCTGTGCGGCTGGAGCTGCTTGAGTGCGAGTCTGCTCCCGCTCTGGCGAAGATTTGGTGGGCGTAACCGGCGCGCTCGGCGTTGGTGTATCTGTCCCTGTTTCGCTGGAAAGATCCTGGGAGGTTGCCTTCTTCCTCGACCGCCCTCGGAGGGAGCCAAATGACTTTTTTACGATGGACTCTCTTGATCTCGGTGGCTGCTTCGCCGGTTCTGGTGCGTCCGTCTTGGGCTGCTCCTGCTCGTTGAACTGAGCCGCCTCTGGATGAGACTGTGATGGGGTATCGAAGACGGCCACTTCGCCAACATGCTTCTGCGCCTCGCCTTCCGCAGGCTTGTTCTCTGTGGCTGGCTCGCGATACCAGAAAGCCCACCCTGAGGCCTTGGCCTGTCCCTTTGGCGGTTTTGGTGCGGTCTCTGCGGGAGCAGCAGCAGGCAGCGGCGCTTCCGGCTGCACTGTTGGCGCTTCTGGCTGCACTGTGGGCTGTGTCTCTGTCGGGGGTTCTGTTGACTCTGGCGGCGGCGCTAACTCTGTGGCTTGGTCTGAGTACGTGTTCGGAGTGAAGAAGTCTTTGGCGGGTTGCTGCGGCGGAGGAGAGTTGGCTTGAACGTTCTGAGCACTGCTCCAAAGCCAGAACCACGAGCCACTTGCTGTGTTCCGCGTTGTCGGCTTGCCAGTCGCTGCCGGCGGATCTTTCGTCTCCGTGCTCTCCGAGGGCGCCATGTCAGCAGGTGCGTCGTCCTTCTTCACCACATCTGTGGCCTCACCACCTGCTAGTGCGCCGTCCAGCCCCTTCGTCGCTGCGTCTGGTTCCTCGGAAGGTGTAGGTCCAGGCAGTGGGGTGCTTGATGCCACTGCAACACTCTCTTGCCCCGCACTCTGAGCCTTCGCCGCGTCTGTGTACCCATCAGGCCGCGACCACCAGCTCGTCCATCCCCAAGTGCCTGCTACTTGTTGCGGCTGCGCGGGCTCGGGCGGCAGCGGGGCCTCGTCTCCGCGTGACGCTGTCTCTGGTGCAGGCGCCTCCTCAGCCCTCTTGGCTGGGGGGACCTCCGCTTCCTCCACCAAGCCGTCAGAGGAGGCGGTGATCTTGGTCGTCGATGTCGGCAGGGCGAGGCTCTTGCTCGACTTGCGATTGGTCAAAAACCTCACGGGGGAGTCGCTGTTGGGCTTCTTCGCGCCTTCCTTGGGCAGTTCAGATGTCGCGCCCCCGCTGACGCTGATGCCGATAGTCTCTTGCGCCGTCTCCACCACAGCCGGCGCCTTTGACCGCCAGCTGCCTGTGCCGCCCAGCCATCTCCGCCCACTCTTCGGTGTCTGTGTGCCTGCGGTCGTGGGCGTGGACGCGCCATCTGTTACTGCGGCAGGCTCAGACACAGGCTGGCTCGCAGCGGCCTCGTGCGGTACTGTGCTCGCCTCCAACGCGCCGGTGCTTGGCCCCGTGGTGCTGCTGGTGCTGCTGGTGCTGCTGGTGTTGCTGGTGCTGCTGGCGGCGGGGACCTCGGCAGTGCTGTCGTCGGCGGGCGCCGCGGCGTTTGGCTTGGACTTCTTGCGGGGCCTCATGGCTCTGGGAGCGCTGAGCAGGCAGTGCAGGCCTCAGGGCGGGTGTTGGAAAGTGCAGCGCATGTGAACCAGATTGCACGCTCCCCGTGAGCGGCTGAACGTGGATCAACAACGGTGACGCATGTCATTGCCCCGTGCGTCCTCAGAAGCCCAGCGCGACCGCGGCGGTGTGGCTTGCCGTGTGGCTTGCCTTGTGGCGCATGAACCCTCTCCTCTGCTAGTGGAAAAGTGGGGCAGGCCCACTTAACTTTTTCAGTCCCGCGAACTCGAACTCGAACTTTCACGCGACTGCCTCTCCGCCTCACCACCACGCCAAACCGCAGCCATGGCGATCCAGAAGAAGCACGGAAAGGGCCGTCTCGACAAATGGTACAAGCTCGCCAAGGAGAAGGGCTACCGTGCCCGTGCGGCTTTCAAGCTCATCCAGCTGAACAAAAAGTACAACTTCCTCGAGAAGAGCAAGGTCTTGATTGATCTTTGCGCCGCGCCTGGGTCATGGTGCCAGGTCGCGTCAGAGGTGCGCACACAGCGACGCGCGACACACACACGCAACACATCTAACACACTCGTAGGTCATGCCTGCGGGCGCGCTCATCGTCGGTGTCGATCTCGCCCCAATCAAGCCCATCCCACGATGCATCACCTTCCAGAGCGATATCACAACCGACAAGTGCCGCACAACCCTGCGCTCCCATCTGAAGCACATGAAGGCCGATGCCGTCATCCACGACGGTGCGCCCAACGTCGGTACGGCGTGGGTGCAGGACGCCTTCTCGCAGGCCGAGCTCGTGCTGCAGTCCATGAAGCTCGCAACCGAGTTCTTGGCCGAGGGCGGTACCTTCGTCACCAAGGTGTTCAGGTCCAAGGACTACAACGCTCTGCTCTGGTGCTTCCAGCAGCTCTTCATGAAGGTCGAGGCCACCAAGCCACCTTCCTCGCGTAACGTCTCGGCCGAAATCTTCGTCGTCTGCCGTGGCTACAAGGCACCCAAGAACCTCGACCCCAAATTCCTAGACGCCCGCTACGTCTTCGCGGAACTTGCCGATCCAACGCCCAACAACGAAGCCAAGGTCTTCAACCCTGAGAAGAAGAAGCGCAAGCGTGGTGGTTACGAGGAGGGCGACTGGACCCAGTTCCACGAGGCCACTGTGGCAGAGTTCATCGAAACACCCGACCCCATCGCTATGCTCGGTAGCCTGAACAGGCTCAGCTTCGAGCAGAAGGGCAACGGAGACATTGCAATTGCAACCATCGACAAGCTCCCAGAGACGACCAAGGAAGTGCGCAACTGCTGTGCTGACCTGAAGGTCCTCGGCCGAGCCGATTTCAAGCGACTACTTCGCTGGCGTCTGAAGGTCCGCGACACCTTCGGTTTCTCGAAGAAGCAGCTAGATGCTGCGGCCGCCAAGGAGGCTGAAGAGGCCAAGGAGGGCGAAGAGGTTGCCAAGATCGAGGACATGGACGAGGAGATGAAGCTGCAGGAAGAACTCGAGAGGCTCAAGGACAAGGACTCCAAGCAGAAGAAGAAGCAACGTCGCATCGAGAACGAACGCAAGCAAAAGGAGATCATCCGCATGCAGATGAACATGGCAACACCTTTCGACATCGGTATGGAGCAAGCTGGGCCGACCGGCGAAGATGCCATGTTCGCCCTCAAGGCCGTCGACAAGGACGGTGCCCTCTCCAAGATCGCCCGCGGCAAGATGGCGCAGGTTATCGAGAAAGAGAGGCAGGAGTCCAGCGAGGAGGAGTTGACAGACGACGAAGAAGGAGACAACCTCGAGCGATACCTTGACTCTCAATACGACGAGTACGTCGAACAAAAGTCCGCCCGCGACGCCAAATACCGTGCGAAGCGAGCAAGAGGTGACAACGAGGACGGCGAATGGAACGGCTTCTCAGACGGTGAGAAGGAGGAGAGCGACGATGAGGAGCTTGTCCAAGACGCAGACAGTGATCTTAGCAGTGATGAGGAAGAGGATGGGCCCAGGAAGTTGATCACAACTCTTGAGGCAGACGACGCCGCCGGTAGTGGCTTGACCAGACGAGCTCAACGCTTTTTCGATCAGGACATCTTCAAGGGCATCGACGGCCTCGACGATCTCGAGGACGATGAAGACAGCGGTATCGACGTCGAGGGCGAGGAGGACGTCAAGATGGAAGATGCGGAAGAGGCTACCGAAAAGCCTTCCAGATCAACCAAGAAGGCCACATTCGCCGAGCCCGCCCCCGAAGAGTGGTCGGACGATGACGACGACGACGACAAGATCGAGGAGGTAGCGCGCGACGAATCCCAATGGGAACTAGACGACATGCCCATGAAGAACGGCAAACCCGACATCGACATCATCACCGCCGAAGCCATGACCCTCGCGCACCAAATCGCCACAGGCAAAAAGACAAAACACGACCTCCTCGACGACTCCTTCAACCGCTACTCCCTGCGCGACGTCGACGGCCTGCCCGACTGGTTCCTCGACGACGAAAACAAGCACTCCAAGCTCCAGCGCCCGACTACCGCGGCCGCCGCAGCCGCCATCAAAGAGAAGATGCGCGCCCTCAACGCCCGGCCGATCAAGAAGGTCCGCGAGGCCCAGGCGAGGAAGAAGTTCAAGGCCGCCCAGCGCCTCGAGAAGCTCAAGAAGAAGAGCGCGATGTTGGCAGATGAGGAGGGGATGACGGAGAAGGAGAAGGCGCAGAGTATTGCAAGGTTGATGAGCCGTGCGAGCAAGAAGAAGCCAAAGGGCAAGGTCAGTGTTGTTGTTGCCAGGGGTGGTAACAATGGTATCAAGGGAAGGCCGAAGGGTACGAAGGGTAAGTATAAGATGGTGGATGCGAGGTTGAAGAAGGATGTCAGGGGTGAGAAGAGGGCGGCGAAGAAGAGGAAGTGAGCAACCATTAGGGATTATGAGAGGTTGTGGTAGTGCAAGATGGATGTGCATTGCTTGGCGTTTGATATCTTGAAAATATATGGAGTTCTGATGCTTGAAAATGCGCTGTCCGTCCAAACCTTTGCTTGCTCGAATCCATCCGCGCCTGACTGGTCCCAGCTCTCCACTTCGTCGTGGCTCTCGCAACTCCACTTGTCCCCTCCCTTCACACCAAACAACCAGCCATGCGCGCACAAGACCACTGGTTCCATACGCCCACGCCGTAGCTGTTACAGCTTGAAGCTGTCTATCGAGACGACTCAGGGCTCGAGCTGGAGCTGGAGGTCGAAGTAGAGCCCGTACTGCCGTTCGAGCCTCCGTTCGAAGTGCCGTTGGATGCAGCGGTTTGGCCGGTCATCTTAGGTCCTAGGCCTGCGGTAAAAGCGAGAGGGACCATATCGGCTTGAATGATAGTGGGTGTAGAGAGGGCGTTTGGCGGTAACGAGGAGGGCGACAGTGGTTGGGCAGCGATCACGGTTTGGTGCTTTCGTATCGTAGGCGACGAAGTGACTGTCTGTGAGCGAAACAAGGCTTGTTGCTTATGGTTCTTCATCGTCCTGGCCCTCAATGGGTTTTATACATGTTTCTTTGGTGCTGCCGCCCTTCCTATCCATCTCACACTCCATATCGAGCACAGTTGGTCTTATCATCGATACTTTCCGCTTCAAGCAAGAATGAAGCATGACTTTGTCGTCCACCAATACAACCTCGCGACAGCTCGTGGATTTCCTGATACGGTGATTGTGCTTCAGGACCATTTTCGGAAGCCTCAGCTGGACGAGGTGGGTAGTCTCAGTTTTGCTCCAATAGCCGTTGAGTTCGCCGCCAAGATTGAGGCTGATAGCTGTAGCAAGCAAAACTTGGCCGTGGCGATTACTGAATGCGGCCGCTCTAGCCGCATTTGGTAATTGCGGTGTTCGCCTCACAGCAGGTCGCGAATCGGTTACTTCCGAGGTAAAAGGGTCGACGACTTCATGGACATCCATCGATGTTGCTACTTCTTAATATCTACGTATGTCTTCCCACCTCTCCCACGAAGCACGGATGTTCACCACCGTCTCATCTCGAATGGATGATGAATGATGGAAGTGGTACATAGTTTCGTATTGCATTCAAATGTACATAGGTTAAAAGATTGCTCTAGTTCGCATATCTTAAACAAGACATCGAGAAAGTCGGTTTTGTATTGGAAGAAAGCATATAGACTGCCGAACTGATCACACCGTAGTAACTTCGAGTCTTACAAAGAAGAAAGCGATACCACTGACTGGCTTACAAATACTAATGGTCGGCCGCTTGTGCAACGGGGTTTCAAGGAGTCTTCACTTTGGAAAAGGAAAGAGGTTTCTTCCTACTCTTTTGAGCGAAGAGCATCATGCAATAGTACACGCAAAGCTAAGTTTAAAGGCAGGTGTCAAGACAGGCAAAAAGGTGACGAGTCAGATCGTAAGGTAGCTACAGGGAATTACTAATTGCAGGCACTAATGACGATCAAAGGACGACTGTGAAGTTGATTGCTCCGACTATCCCTCTTACTGTAATTACGCAGCACCTTTCTTTAATGACCGTTCACGAACCGCCAGAGATTCCTATCTAACTATGCCTGCTTGCCTACGTCGGGCCTGGGGCTCAGCGGCTCGTCTTTGATGATACGTCTGTGACGACTGTTTTGCGCATGCAACCAATCCATGACACACGCCCACACTGCCGCAGCTCTATTCGGTATCAGTGATGCTCGAACCGTTATCATGACAGCTTGCACTCACGCTGCGAGACCTGCGAAAGCGGCAGTCGCGCCTTGGCCTGCTCGTCGATCAGCGGCGCTGGAGGCCACCTTCCTCGCCAAATCAGTATCATTCTGTGGTGTTGAGCTGGCGTCGGCCGCCAATCGTGCAAGCGTCGCCATCAACGCTATGCAAGCGACGGAATAGACAGCATTCCCAGCAACGGCAACAATGCACGCCGCCTTCTCGACCTCATAACGTAGACGCACTGTCGACATGGGCAAAGCGTCGCGCTCCAGGACGAGCAGCGTGACAAAGAGGATCGCATTCCACGCTGTACCGAAGATTGCCTGTTACAGCAGATGAGTTTAGCAAAGCACAGGAAATGAGGAAAAGTAAGAACTACGTACCACTTGGTAGGTGATACTAAAGGTCGAGACCGCCGGACTAAACTGTGTAAATGTACTTGTAGAAGCGTCTCCAGCACTCGTTTCAGTACGAACAAGGTTATTAGTCCATAGCAGGGTACATAGGAAGCCGGCGGTGAAGAGTAGAACTGCAAACAAAATAGACGCGCTATGTGAATACTGCCATAACGTCTTGCGGCCAATGGAGAAGCCGACCATGATGTTGAACTTCACGTGCTTTTAATCTGAAATCAAGATGAAAGATGACTGAAGTTGGAAAGGAAGCGCGAGTGGTAGAGCTTATCTGGACTTATACCTTCACACGGCGCGAAAGGCTTGGGTTGCAGCCATGACACTGGTGTGCATCCCTTACCGGTAAACACAACTCGAGGTCTGCGCACTTGTTGGATGCCTAAACAACATATCAGCTTTCTGCTTGGCGATTCTGAAGAATCCGTCCAATTGTGCCACGCGTGACAGGGTGTATGATGGGATGCATCAGGTGGTGCGCGAAAAGAGTAAGCAAATCGCCGCTGGGACCAATCTACCTTGGGCGTTGCAATGTCTGCATATGGCTGATTCAGCGCGGACCCAGACTGCCTTTGGAAATTCTGGGGTCCAAAATCAGACGGAGGGCATTGGCCCTCGCCGTGTACCTCTTGGCAATTGTGCGCTTACGCAGATCCATAGCGCTGAGCCTTCATTCTCATTGGTACGCATGCAAGTTGCCCTCTACGCTGCTGCGTCAGTGGCCTTCCATTTCTCTACACACAAAATGCTGATCGGTGACTTCTCTTGCTGTCTGATGGTCAGCAAACTGGGTTTTTACGAAGATCACGCCATGGCTTCAGCATCACATGCGTTCTGTGCCACCTTGCAATCACCGCAGACGTCACAAGGCTAAGCAAACAAAATGATATGACTTCCCATGTCAAGACCTGGGGACGTTCCCGCAAGGCTGAAACATGCCTCTACTCCGCAGTCTCCTCTCCCGACATACAGACAGCGAGGGCAAGTTGAGTGCGAAGCTGCCAAAGTCGCCAAAGTCGCCCAAATCCCCCAAGTCTCCAAAATCTCCCAGGTCTCCTAAGTCTCCTAGACCCTTGACGTTCACGGAACGGAATCCTGACTATCTCAACCAATGCGTGGGCTGCAACAAGGTCGAGGACCTGATAAGGTGGAACATTGAACAGCAGAAGAATGGCGGAGACAGAGTGCCGTGGACTCTCTTACACAACAGCTTCGATGAGCTAGACAAATGCGCCACCAAGTGCGAGATCTGCCGCGTGTTCCGACAATCACTTCTCCTGGAGGAAGTCACTTTTGACGGGGTAAAGAAAATCCAAGACGCGCAAGGCGAGGTGATTGTGCGCTGGCAAGAGACGACTGCTACAGACGGCGCACCCAGCACCTTCTTGACAGTAGAGGTCGAAGACGGGCCCGGACGTGCTGGAGTGGTGAATTGCAACAGTCAAAGTGAAGTTGCACACCTTGCGCTACACGCCGATGGTCGCGAAACAGCTGTGATTGAGCAGGCCAAGGAATGGATGAATGTTTGCCTCAACAACCACATCGGACAGTGCGACAACTTGAAGTTTAGCAGCGAGAGTCCCCAGCTGCTGATCGAGATTCTTTCGCCCGAATCCATACGGCTATGCGAGAACCAGTCGAGCGAATATGTAGCACTGAGTTATTGCTGGGGTAATCCACAAACCCTATCACAAGCTGAACTGGATGAGGTGGAGCGAGGAAAGACTTTTACAACGAATCTGGATCGCCGTCATCAGCCATTTCGCATTGACGACCTCCCTACCACTGTGCGCGATGCGCTTTACATTGTTCATGCGATGGGTATCCGCTATGCCTGGATCGATACTCTGTGTATCGTTCAGGACAAACCCGAAGGCGTGGCCACAATGCACAAGGTCTATTCCAATGCGCTCTTCACGTTATGTGCCTGCGCTACAACTCGGGCCACGGCAAAGTTGCTCGACCGGCGCGAGGCATGGACCCAAAGGACAGAGCCATGTCGACTCGGCGGACAATGGCTGACGACATCGGACATGTCTTTGAATGAGTTGCGCTTGAGGTCGCCGCTCGCAGAACGCGCTTGGACACTTCAAGAGGAAAGGTTGAGCCCTCGAATGCTGTACGTTTCTAGCAGCAGGTTTCATTGGTCTTGTGCCAGGAGCCATGAGATGGAACTGAAGCCCACATACGAACAAAAAGTCACCAAGCTGCACAGACCAGTGTACGCGGCATCAGACCGCAATACCCAGATGCCGGTAGCGCAGGAGTTCCTGCTGGCCTGTCATTCTGGCACAAGCGACCTACACGCGTTCTGGGCGGACATTGTGAAGTCGTATGCGTTGCGAAACATGACTAATTTGAAAGATCGATTGACGGCCTTGTCTGGTCTGGCCGCAAAGTATCTAAGTGCGAGTAGCCTTGACGAATATCTGGCCGGTATTTGGGCGAAAAATCTGCCAGAAGGACTCGTGTGGAAAGTAGAACAAGCGGTCGATATTGATGGCAACAAAGTCGATCCCATGGCACCAAAGTGGCCGTCATGGTCATGGGCTGCGCTTCCGCTGCACACTGCGATTGGAACGGATGCCAAAAGTGCACGATCGGCCTCTTTCCAAAGAATTGCTGATGACGACATCAGAACGCCGGGAGTTCGAGTTGACGTGGAGAATGCTGTCAAACAGGGAGAACATACCAAGGAGATTTGCGTGACAGGTCGCATGCGCGCACTATGGAAGCCGTCTTCTTGCCGCATTGACTGGTCGAGTGTCAGCAGGGTAGTGGAAGGGGAGGAAAGGTTCACTTTTGCGACTAATCCCGAACAGGACATGCATGCCATACAATCTGTATCTGGTCGCGTTCTGGTGTACGAGGATCGAAAAAAAGAAGTTGTCGGTCAGCTTGACTTTCTGCATGACGTCAGAAGAGTGCAATCGGGTCAGGTGGAGTTGTTGGCTCTTGAGATAGGGGAAACAACTATGCTCTTGTTGGAGAACTGTGGCGAGGGGATTTACCGGCGGGTTGGAGCTGCATGGGACGTTCGTAAGGACTTCGTTGCATTTGCGGTATGCGAGGTCTTAATTTTGCGATAGATAGGAATATCTATGCTTCGTCAGAACTGAGCTCAATGTCCCCTATTGACACTATTTCCACACTTGGGAACAATCAAGTATACTTGCAAATCTTGAAATTTTTTCAATCAAATCTCCAAATCAAGCAAGTCAAGTCCGTCCACACAAAATTGGGTACAAATCAAGTCTCAGTGCCAGATTTGATTTGGAGATTTGAAAGATTCGGATGGATTTGATCATTGCCATGGTGTTGTGGGTGGGTTGAGGCGTGCCGTGCAAGGTGCTGAAGGAGTCTGATTCTGCAGTACGCCCCAAGCGTGCGCGGAAGCCTACCCAACGTGCGTTGGAGCGCGATGGTACCCCTCTAGGCACCGCCAGCTAGCCCATAGATCTGCCCAATACACAGCTAAGAAGAAAAGCGTTGCAAAGACCCGATGGTATTCACCATCCAACGTTCAAGAAGCACGGATACAACTTTGCATCAACAAACAAGAAGCAGCCAATGAAAAGGTCAGAAAAGCAGATTCAAAGAAGCCGAAGGAAGACAACAAGATACTTAAGGAGAAGCTTGACGCTGAGAAGGCTGAGGCTCGAGAAAAGTCAAAGGAAGAGCGTGCTAGACTGAAGGAGATGAAGGCTCAACATGCAGCCAAACACAAGGCAGAACAGCAGCGTCGGAAGGAAGCTCGCGACTCTCAAAAAGCATCACAGCCTGCTCAAAAAGGTAATCGTAAGGTATCACAGAAAGCAGCACCAAAAAAGAAGCAGGATCGTGGTGATGCGGTTGCGCATAGTGGTGCTGTGGCTGCAAGCCTGCCCTGGGAGGCACCCAGTAAACTCACGCGCAGCGGCCGTACCTCCACATTGCCACAGCGATTTATATAGCAGAAAATAATTAAAAGCATAAGAATAGTACAACACCAGCAAATCTTGTGATAGTACCATTTGTACGTTGTTGTGCAGCTTTAATTGTTGTGTGGTCTTTGGGGTGATTCTCGCGCATCTCGCGACTGCGCGCATCTCGTGCACGGGCACGGTAGAGCGTAAGATTTTTCGGCATGGTAAACGTAGCTCAATGAAATTATAAACAGAGAGCTCTATGTTCAGCTACTCATTGCTTGCGTCTGTGGGTGAAATTGTGATGACGTGTGGAAAATGCGGCTCATCAACTGTGTGAGCTTGTGTTATGAGATAACTATTATACTAGCATGACTCCAAATGTCGCCTCCAACGATGATACAGTGCGTATTGTTGAAGCCGCTTACTTGTCACATGTTCTTCAGCAGGCCTTCGTAAAAGATTATACGCGTGTTGGCAGGGACTATGGAGTTCTGAATTGTGAACGTTGGATCGATGATGGTTTACCATTTCATTGTCTTTGTAGTGAGTATATCTGTTGCAGTGTATGTAATCTTTAGGACCAGAGGGTCAGAAAGGTCGGTCTCTTTGTATCGCTGCGAGGCCGCGATAACATTCAACGTGGAATAACTGGAGCAATAACGTACTGTACAAGCGAGTCGCGCATACAAGCGAGTCGCGCACCCCACCAACTTTGCCCACCTCTTTGAGCGTATAACTCAACCACGATATAAAGCAGTATATAGATATCAATATGGTAGATTAAGCAGTGTCTACATTATCCTTTTTACATGTCCGTGGGTTGTGCCCAGGCTCTCTGCACTTTGTACAGCGTGCCAGAGCCTGGCGGCTTAGGCCCGGTCACTCTCCACCTTGACGCTCTTCACAAGCAATCTGCTGATCAGCCTCACGTTGAGCAATTATATCCTCTCCAGCTCTCTTTGTTAAGACTCCTTGCTTCTGTATACGCCTTTTCTTATGCTGCTTTCGCTTTGACGCTGCATCGTTGGCTCTCTCAAGGCTAGTAATCCAATCGCGCATAAGTGTTGAAGTCGTACTTTAAGCAAAGCTCGTAAGCACTATTTGATTGGTTCTCGAGGATGAACTCTGGTTCTGGAACAGTAGGGGTAAGTTGCCTGGGTGAAACACCTAACGACGGCTTGGGGTAACGATGAGTAGTACAGGCAATCTGTCTAGCTCGAAGGTTGGTTGAGATCCAATGACAAACTTAATTGACGAGGTTGAACACAAACCATAAGGGTTGTGTTCCTACACATATATATACAGT